CCAGAACATCTACCACAGTGTTGGAGACCTAATTCTAACCAGTCTGCCTGCCTGTATAATGAGCTACAGATCATTGTATGACACCTTGCTTTCCTACCTAGAAACATGGTCAGCTGAGAGTGACTCGTCATTACACAGCCACATGGATTGAGAACAGCCATCCTGAAATCAAGGCCAAAGATGAAGGGCTTCCATGGAGCCATGTGTCTGTCATGACAGTGATGCATGAGCCTCCAGGGTAAACGTCCATTTCTGTTGATGGATTCATGTTCTGCCCAGCATCAGTATAACCACTCTTTTCCCTATTTTGTTCCATGCCTCTGGCTACCCCTTGACTTGTCCACTTACATGGAGATGTAACTGGACTATGGCTGAGGACATTCTCCTCCTCTGGGATTGCTTCCCTCCAGGCCTTGGGCTTCGTGTACATTCCTATCCCAGCACCACTCTCCCTTTTGTCCTTTCCAGCATCCGAGATCTCTTGGGTCTGATAGCATGCAACCTCATGGGTTAAAACAAGTCCTTTCTTGCCATGTTTTAAAAAACATTGGTGAAAGAGCATGAACAGACCAGTTAGGATCGGGTTCCTGATGCAATGCACTAACCCTGGGCATGTTGCTTATCTCTTCAGTGACTTGGTTCCCTCTTAAGAAAAAATTGAAACATTCCTTTTCCCCGCAGAATATTTGTGGGAGCTAAATTCATTAGAGCTTGGGAGCCAAGCATATAAAGACGACTTTAATATGGTACTGTCACTAAAACTCTCCAATTCCAGCCTTTGCACTTTGTCTTACACTTGGTGTTTCCAGGCTGCTGACTTATCTGAAGATGCCTCACCTCCTTACTGGGCAGAATAAGCAACCTGACATTTCCCTTTTTCACTCTCTTGTTTGAGTGTCAACTAGTTGTTCCCTGTATTCACAGTTATCATTCCATGCCTTACTACTGAATGTCTGTGAAGACCTCTCTGCAACTAAGACCTGAGCTAGAAAAATCAAGAAAGGACCTGGTTGTTATCATCATTCTCACCTACTAAAAACTTACTGCCATGCCAGATATTTGTTGGATAATATTTTATTTAACCACCCTACCAACCCTCAGTTTGTATTATTACTCAAATTTACAGTTGGTGATTAAGTCAGGCTCTGAGTATTAAGGTTTTCAAAAGGCATACAGATAGCTGTCTTGAATAGAGGATCATTTCCAGTTAGCCATACACTTGCCTGCCCTAAGGTCTGAGGTAGCTCCATCTGGAATGTGTTGTGGGCAGCTAATATGCTAGGCTATCATTTCCTCTCTGTAGCCACTTGGGTTCTCTGCCTGGGATGTTTTAGAGAAGACTTGGCTTCAGGATGGCTGTCTGGCATCGGTTCACAAAGCTTTTGTGAAGTCACATGTGGTCTTGGAGTTGCCAGGAAAAAGGATGCCTTGATGAGCCAAAATGCAAATTCCATAGGAGAGGAAAAGTGAAAGTGAGCTTGTTCACACCGTGCAGGGCTCCAAGGAAATGACACAGTGAGGGAGACACAGTGTCCTGCCTGTGGGCTCCGTCATATTACAGGGACAATACAAAACTTGCCTTCCAACAATTTGTCTCTTAGGTCATTAAGAAAAGCAGAGGTGACCCAAATTAAAGTTCCATGTGACCCTTTGAGGAGCTGTTATTCTGGGGAGCCAGAGTTTCCTCGCCAACCCCCAGAGTTTCTCTTGTTTTAGACACAAGACACTCAACACATAGCCTACGCTAAGCTAGGAGCAGAGGATATGAGGCCTTTCACCCATCTGTTCCCATTGGAAAAGATCTCCAGGGTCTTCACTAGTATTTTCAAAAAACGCTTTAAGTTGTTTGATGATTCTTCTTCTATTTAATTACTAATAGTTTTTGAAACAGGGTCTCATGTAACTCAAGCTAACTTCAACTCATATGCCAAAGACTGGCTGATCCTTCTGACTCTACCTCAGAACTGCAGTTCACAGACATGATCACCACAGCTGTCTTTACCCCCTCTCCAATCTTCTTCTCTTTGCTCATTTTGCCTTCTCCAAGACACTTGTCCCACTGGCCCTGTCCAGACTCAAGGTTTCTTACCAGATGGGCCTCACTGTCTAAGAGAGGACAATCTTCCTCTAACTAAGATATTACCTGCTTTGAATGCTTTTTAATCAATAACTTTCTTCTCCAAGTTTCATATGCAACCAAATACTGAGCCCAAAGAGATTTAGTGATCGCTGGTATTTGGACTGAAACAATTAAAGGCGTTGTTTATAAGCAATGTACTCTTGGCATTTACTAAGGTGAATTTTGAGATGAAATGTTTCAAAGATGATTTGAAAGTCTTTTTCAATGATGATTAAAAGCTCAGCTTGACCCAAAGTTTTGTCTGTCTTGGGAAATTATATGCACATGTAATATTTGAAATGTTTCCCTTTCAAACAAAGAATCACTATAATATATAAAATACATCTGGAAATCTGAAGTATAGTTTATGACAATTTATCTTCACAAACAATCCAGCAAGTTCTGAATGAACTTGCCTCATCAAAAGCAAGCCGTGCTAAAGTGAGGAGCCCTGCTAGACTCAAGACAGATATATTGGCTGTTTATACTCAGATTAAAGGAGGCAGGCTGTGGCTATTTCTCCCAGAAGGGGACTGAATCATGATTGTTAAGGTGAAACCAAAACCAAACTGAAGGGTCAAAGACTCATACAAGCCTCCTGTTTGAAAAAATGACTCAAAAGGTTCGAGAGAGAGAGAGAGAGAGAGAGAGAGAGAGAGAGAGAGAGAGAGAGAGAGAAAGATGTAGAGTGATGTCTTGGGCTGTCTTGATCACCCCCTCCCTTATTCTGAAAGGGGACACACACACACACACACACATACACACACACACACACACACACACGTACATGCACCTGCTTCCAATCTACTTAAAATTCTCAATTTCCCCCTTTGAGTTGCTTACAGAATATAATAGAGCTCATCAACTTTCATGTCCTTGTTAAAACTTGTAGGAACCAGTCACTGGGCCTCACTCAGAGCTAAGACCAAGATGGAATCTAGAAATGTGTGCACACAGATCCCAAAGAATTGCTGATGCTCCGGGTCTGGGGGCTACTCTTTTAGAACCATTTGAATAGTTCTACTAGGCAGGTTCTAGAGTTAGACTCTTGGGTCCCAAGGTCAGCATCACCTTTTTTCAACAGAAGGACTCCTGAGCTGGTTAACCTCTCCATTACCTCTATGTTCCCTCATCTAGTTCAAAAGGAATTGCATCTTCGGTGTGGTCCCATGTGGATGAGGCCACAGTGGCAGGAGCTGATATTTCTCCTGAGAAACCAATCCATACAGAGCAGAAACACCCAGTCCTACAAGCCCTGAAATTCAGGTTTGGCTCAGTGAGAATGCTTTCATCCACAAGTTAAGTGCCTGGATTAAAAATTCTTCTGCCCTTAACACTTCCAAATTAGTTTGATTTAAATAAGAAGACTCGAGAGAAAATCTGGAGCATTCAATTGCTTATACTTGCTTTTTGTTTTTATTATCAACAATCAAGTTAATGGTACACTCTTGGAAAACTATATGCACATGTAGAAATATTTCCCCTTTAAATAGAAGCATTCATTATAACACGTATAAATAAATTTGAAAATCTGAAACATAACTTATGACGCTTATGTTCACAAACATAGTCCAACGAGAAGAAAACGAAATCAGACAGACATGCACCTGATAACAAAAATATATACCATTGTCTGAACCTGGTCTCTCTAAACACAAAGGAATTGAACCCGTGAGAACCTTATTACGCCAAAAAGACACACCATAGAGACTACAAGAAGAGAAAAACATTATACGGTCACGCAGAGGAGACGGTCTGTACTGAGAGTAACACGATACAATTGAGTCACAGAACACAGCTGTAGAAAGACACCGAAAAAGTTAAAGCCTCAACATTCAACTAATATCTATAGTTTGTGCCTTTTAAAATAAAATTGAAACAAAAAATCCCAACAGAGATGTCTAAACTGCGCGTAGAAGGATTCATCAATATACAGTCCGTCCACCCTACAGGATGAGTCCAGCTCGGATCACTCAATCAGAAATGCAAGCCGAGACACTTTCTGCAAACGTTGTGTGCCTTTCCCTTGCTGGGTAGATTTCTCTGCCGCCAGCTACGTGGGACTGCAACTGACTCCAATGCAAAGCAATGCCAAAAAGTTCCGTAAAAGCTGGTGGAAGAAGAAAATGCCGGCGGGGGTGGCAGGAGAGAAAAAGGAGCGCTGAAAATATGAGACACGGGTTGCAGAGTTTGAGGATGAAAAGGCATCTCATGTACAGGGCATCTTTCAGGGCCAAGCGGCTGCGAAGGTTTGGGGATAGCAACGGTGTGGCAATCAGTTGCGCTAAGGGCAAGATGGTTTCCGGCGAGGTGGGGACAGGCAAGCGGGCTCCAGAAAGTCACTTTGGCTGCCAGGACAGTCTGAGTGAGCCATCACTGCGGTGGCCGGAACCCAAAGACCTGAGGGGAACCAGGGCTGGAAAGGCATCAATATCCCTTCCTAAAGAGGAGCCACGAGAGTCTGTACAGTTGTGAGCATGAGAATTTAGGGGTTCGCAAGACCAAATCCTCAGTGCCAGCCACAGTCCTCTCTTACTCCCTTTGCATTTTTTTTTTTAACTTGTCCCCTCCATTTGGATCTTTTTACCTTTTGTGATTTATTTTATTTCACTTTTTTTTTATCGTTGCTGCCTTCCGAATTTTTAATTTGTTTCTAAGAAGTCACTGAGTTAGTTGTACCCCCCATCTCTCCCTACCACCTATATGGGGCCACAGACACACAGTCTCCGAGACAAACATACACCCGACACTCAGACACAGCCCCCTGAGAGTGCCCTGAAGTCCAGACCACGCTGCTCACACCCCCTGGGCAGCAGGCGGAGCCCTGTCCTGTGCGCAGCCTGAGGCAGGTGCGAAGCCAGGGAAGTTTTTTGTTTGTTTGTTTGTTTTGTTTTGTTTTGTTGGGGGAGGAAGGTTGAGGAAAGGGTTAGGAGTGGGGTTGAAATGGGAGCGACGTCATTTTCTCGTTATTCGAATCGCGATCAGTTTAGGCCGCTGGCAGCAGCGACTCTAGCCTTGGGTCTACCCACTCGCCCACTCGCCAGCCCGAACCCGGGCTCGCCCGCCGCCGCCGCAGATCGCAGATCAGAACATACTGCTCTTGACTAAGGCGGCCTTGGCACCGTTGGGTCTTTGGAGCGAAGATAAGACGCTGGCGAAAGGGCCCCCTAGTGAATCCGGGATGGAGGTGATGGGGCCCGGACCGGGAGCCCAGCCTTGCCCCGGGCCCCCAGCCGCAGCCAGGCCTCCTGCCGCCGCCGCCGCTGCCGCCGCTGCCGCCGCAGCCGCTGCAGCAGCCGCCGCAGCCGCACCGCCCTTGCCGGGTTCGCCTCCCGGGCCCCCCGGGCCCGCCGCCCCCGGAGCTCCGGTCGGGCTGGGCCCTCCGCCGCCGCCGCCGTTTGCCCCACAACTAGGGGTCGGGTTGGGGTTGGGTCCCGGGCCCCCAGTGCTGTCGGGGTCGGTGCTCTTTGCCTCTTTGCTCTCATCATCCCGGGAGGAGTCAGACTTCTTGCCGGAGGAGCCGTTTTTGGCTGCCGCGGCTGCTGCCGCTGCTGCACGCTCCTGCTTGCGAAACTTGGCTCGACGGTTCTGGAACCACACCTGCCCAAAGACAGGAGAGGGGATGAAACGGGGGAAGAAATCCAGAGAGCAAAGTGGCGCTTGGGACGACCTACTTCGTTTCAGAGCACACACACACACACACACACACACACACACACACACACACACACACACTTCGCCACATGAATGGACCATTGACAACACAGCACACGCTTACAAGTCCGCTAGTACCTCTTCTGAGAAACTTTCTAAGGGCCCAAACGAACGTGCCAGTGTAAGGGACAGGTACAAAGGTCACAAAAAGACCTAAAACGGAAGCCTTTCTTTTGATGGACTCTTAAAGGCTCTCTGCTTACTCCTAGCCCTCTCAAGTCTAACTAGAGAAAGGAGCTACCTTCCTCTTTAGTGACTTTTAGCCAGCTCATCCACTGGCTATCCACAGGGGAGCCTTGCGTGGTGAGCACCAACCTTGCACTTGGCTAGCTGAGGAGTTCCAGAGCACACCTTTGCTCCTAATAGTTAGGTAGGGTCCCTTCACGAATCTGTTTCTAGTCCTAGTTGCTAGGAAATTACTAAATTACTCCGTGTACCACCAGTGTTAAGTTTTTAAAGGCGCTTGAATTAGGAGACACTTGGCAACCGAAAGATGACAGCTAGGCTGACAAAGACGTCGGGGAAAATCGTCAGTCTTCCTCTCTCCGGGCACTTCCTCTCTCCCTTTCAAACTCCCAGTGCCCTGCTCTGGTGGGAAACACTTTGTGGCTGTCAACAAGTTGCCCGTGGTGTGTGTCCTAGGCCCCCCTAGTGCTCACACAACACTCCAAATTCCATTTCTCCGACCGGTCCTGGGTCCCTTTAGAACTCTAAGCAGCATCCACCCCTCACCCCACTGCTGCTGTGGCGCTCGGTCTCCGGTACCTGGACTCTCGCCTCGGTGAGGTCTATCTTCAGCGCTAGCTCCTCCCGGGTGTAGATGTCTGGGTAGTGCGTCTCGGCGAAGACCCTCTCCAGCTCTTTGAGCTGTGCGCTCGTGAAAGTGGTACGGATGCGCCGCTGCTTGCGTTTCTCGTTGAGGCCGCCGTGGTCGGTGAAGAGTTTGTAAGGAACTAGAGGGTGACAGAGGATAGAGTGAGCAAAAGAGCCAGGACGTGGGGACCCAAGGTCAGACAGCCCGGGAGCCGCTACGGACACCAGCGGCGACCTGCCAAGAAAACCCAGCAAATTAGTAATGTCTAGATGCAGGGGCAACGGTGAGACTGTGTGGGGGTTCTTGTGGTCCAAGGGCCTTTGGGTGGGTTGAAATAGCAAGTTGAAGACCACTTGAGCTCCCGAACCGGGAATGCCGCATTCAGCAAGAAAACAGTCCAAAAACATCAGTTGGAATATCAGAAAGACCTGGACGAAGTTACCACTCACGTCCACTGTTGCAACTTTTCAATTCTCTGAAGTTGACACCGCCCGAAAGTTGGGGGATAGTGCTGTTAAGAAAAACAATAAATTCAAAAAATGATAATAAAAATGACCGGTCAAAGGGGTGTGAGCCTCTGTCGGTTCTTTAAAAAAAAAAAGAGAGACACCGCCAGTAATGAGCTTTACTCTTTGTTATTTAATTATTTTCTAAGCTTTACGTCTCATCGCAAAGTAAATAAATTATGCCTATCATTTTGGCAGCTTAAGATAATTTTGTTGGCGGTTCGGGTGTGACTAGGATAGTGTAACCCTGTAAGTGAATTACCCCTCCCTGCAATCGCTTCTAACGTGATAAATTCTTTCATTTGTGTAAGCAAATTTCGTTTGGTAAATACTAAACACATTTCCATTTTCAAATGCAATCAAGGCTTCCTATATACGAGCGGAAAGGCGGCTTCTTCCGCCAAGAGAGCTAGCGGTCCTTACCTGCGGCGTACGGACTGCTCTGGTGGTCTCTGAGGGTGCCGAGGCTGCAGGATCCCGGAGTGAGGGACGGACAGCCGGACGTGGCCCCAAAAGTGGTCCTTATCGGGTTATACTGGAAGCCACTGGCCTGGCTGCAGGAACTGAAGTCTGCATAGGCTGACGCCAGGCTCGAGGTGTCCATCCCGGCCATACAGGACTCGTAGGCAGAGGAATTGAGGTAAGAATATTCCATTTTATACATTGAAAAGGTTCTGGATGGCTCAGCCAAGTGGAAAAATGAAATAAAAGATGGATATGGAGAAGGTGGCTGGAGTGGGGAGATGTGCACAGCTCAACGCCTGCCTCCAAACTGGCCTCCTTACTACCAGCAGAGCCTAGTTTTATGAAAAAGCCTCCTATGAGATGCCTTGTCTGAGGTCTCTAGAGCATATAGTCCTCATAATAAACTTGGCTCTTTCCACTTGGACAATAGCAAAGCGGTTGGTCTTATTGCTGGCGCTTTTTACATGACAATAACTCATCCGTCTATTGGGCTGGCACTGGGGAACTGAGCTGTCCAACCTCCCTATCATTGATTCCTGCATCTCTAATTAGAATTTAATACCACACCATTACGCACCGAGCCCCTGATCCTCCCTTCTAACCAGCTCCTGCCCTTTAATTCAATCACGCTACTTGGAAATAATGAAAGTTGGGTGACGATTTTCCCTGATCCAATTTCCAAGAGCTTTTAAGCCTTTTTAACTGATCATATACCTTAGGCATAAATTGAGATAGTGTGTTTTCCCCCTTCTTCCTCCTTTTTTTTCTTTCTTTCTTTCTTTCTTTTTTGGTTAGGGAGAAGAAACCTTGATGTCATAGAAAACCTGTTTTGTAAGAGTGTTACACGCTCAATTTAACAACAAGCCTACCCCCCGAAGTGCATGAAATTTTATAAAGGACTGGGACATTGGCAAGACTCAGGCGTCCTGTAACATAGCGTAAGTGGGCCAAGGGTGTTTTATGTGAACGATAAGGATAAGCGGATTTCTTTAAAATACACCTGGTCGAAGGGGATGAAAAGAGAAATAGTATCTTATCAATTGTATTTCTCCTCGAAGCTTAATGTGCTTTCCAGAGACGTGGGCAGACAGGTCCTTTACAAAAGTAACATAAACAACCGAGTAAAGCTCTCGAAGGTAAAACATCTGGGTTCCCTACCAAACGATTCTCTGAGCTCAGCGCTGGCTGTGTCTGTCTGCTTTTGTGTAGATTGGTCTATGTGAAACTTCCCTGCGAAGGTTGTTTTAATTCCTCAGTAGCTACCATGCCCAGCATGAAGTGTACCCAAACGGGATTCCTTTTCCAGTCTTTTACTCTCTCCCTCTCTTTCGCCTCTCGTTTTTTTCAGGCGCTCACAATTCCTATCAGACCCGTGATTTCCCAAAGAGGATCCCTATCTGTTCGTCCTTTAGGTTTTCTGACTTCACTGAGCGACACCCTTGCTATTTAAACAAACAAGGCAACGGCTCGAGGCAGCTCACTTTCCTAGTTCGATTCCTCGGGCTCTTGAGTTCTGGCAAGGAGTCGCAAACAAAGAAGGCAGCCTTGATTTGTGGACCTCGGTGGCCCCATGATTTAAGCGGAGGATAATTTTCATTTGGTTCGTTAGACTCTAGCAGAATAAAGGGAAATATTTCATTAAATCCTTCCTCTCGGTGGACAAGAGGGGGGAATGCTTAGTTGAATCGCCATGTGGTGTAAACAAACCCTGGATATTTTATATGAATTAAATGTGTAGGTAATTAGTTTTATTGCATTCATTACCCCCTTTATGTGCTCTGTAACAAGTCAGTAATTAAAGTAACAAACTCATAAAGTCTTTATAGGGGCATTTAGGCGTTCAGTGTTTGCCAAACTAAGTGGTTTAATTCGATGCTAGTGCCGGGGAGTGGATGGGCACTCGCTCTCCACTGCTACCCTGCTTTATCACGGGGTAAACCGCTGCAGACTCGGTAAAGGATTAAACACGGACAGCGGGGCCCCCCCCCCAGCCTTTTCAGCTTCTGACCAGGTGTTTGCGTATCCTCTGGACCTAAGAGTGCTGAACTGGCAAATTCAGGCAAGCGAACCCACCGAGGAAGCTGGTGATAGTTTTATGGGGCGGGCTGATAGTTTTATTGCAGTTGTACACTGTACAATGCGTATTTGATAAAGAAGGACCCTTGGTGACCAATGTGCACTTTTTTGTGCAGTGGGGGAAATGAAAATAAATGCGTCCAAGGTTTGACTGCGGCGGGAAACAAATTGCAACACTCTAAATGGTTTTTCTTTATGGTCACCAGACAAGAGGAGAAAGGGGGATGCAAGCATCTGTCTTCAGTCCCTGCACCTAAAGGCCTGCAAAGACGGATGCGAATCCAAGGGTTATTACAGCGTGGATTTGTCTTTATTTATCGTTCCCTCATGAATATGAATCTGCATCTGGACCAGGAGGTGCCTGTACCCCACGGACTCCACATGGACTTTCCCTCACTGGTATTCTCCCACTGCCTTCCACTTTAGGGAGGTGGGGGATATGTTACCAAACACAAGGCTACTATTGTCCAAGTTTCTCTGTTCCCTGGGACTTAGGGGTGAGGGGAAGAAAAAGAAGAGCAGTGCGTCCTGGTTTTCTGAAAATCGGGATGTTGTAGCTCAGACCAGCGTTCTGAGATGTCAAGGGGTGGGATTTAGGCCAGGTTAGGCCAGATTAACACGGGCCAGCCAGCAATTTTTGGCACAGGTGGGCTGTAAGCTATTTTTCTGCAAGAGAGACATTTGGGGAGTCTGGGAGGAGGTGCATTTAGTTTCTAAGGCCCAAGTTGGCAAAGTCCAGGTTCACAGCCTGCCTGAGGTGCATCTCAGAGTGTTCTGCTGGAAGCCACCCCGGCTCCTGGCAGCTGCTCTTCAACGGTGCCCAGAGCCCTACACCAGCCCAGCATGCCAGACATTTTCACAGCCTTCATTCACATGACTCATTACAACAAACTTCAGATGATTCTAGGCTGTTTTTTAAAAAAGGTCTTTGGACAGAGGTCCTGGCTGTACACCCTGAAGTGTTCTGCGGGCCGGACAGGAGGAAAGGGAGAGCTAGGACCAGGAATCCCCGCAAGGGAAATGCCCTCGGAGGAGGGACAAGACCAGCCGAAGCCATCGCAGGGCGCCAGCCCAGGGCTGGTCCCTCCCTCTAGTCTGGCTCCAAGCTGCCTCCACTTGGTCGCGCCAGCCGCCTTCAGGGTGCCAGTCCTGTTCTGTGGATCATCCTCGTCCTCTCTCCAGACGCCCCCTGGTGCCCATCCTCTCGTGGTGTGGCCCTTGCGCTGCGCGCCTCCTCGGAGACCGCTCAGAGCTAGAACCGCACGGTTGGCTGAGCAAACGCTCTTGACTTCATTTTCCCCTTTGTAGGACTTGTAGGTTTATTTTGTTCAGTGTCACTGTCCTTCCCACCCGCCCCTTCCCCAACCCTGGCCCCTCTTTTGTGGCTCGAGGTCCTGATTCTGCTCAGCGATGAAAGGCTTGTGGGGTTGGGCTGGGCCAGAGCTCCAGCCCCAGCTCCCGGCTTTGTCCCAGTTGTGCTTTCTACACGCGAGCTCTCCCCTAAAAGTTGTACCAAATGGTTAATTTAATTATTCCAACTATAGACCAACTGCTTCAGCAGCCGCCACCACGCGTCTGGGAGGAAAAAAGAAGCCATCTATAAGAAATAATCTAATAAAAGTGAAGTGTAGAAAAACCCCTCCTGATTTTCAACCGGCACAAATAGAATTAAAGGTTCAGCATCCTTTTTCCAAACAGACCTTTTGTCCAGATCACAACTTCAGCCAACCAGCAGTGTGTACAGTTCCTGCTATTTATTTTAATAGAAGCGGGTGGGAAGCGAGGTGGATTGATAGATAAATGGCCACATAGATAGATGGATGGTTTGATCCATCTTCTTCTGTCTCTCTTTTCTTAGTATGTGTACACGGTTGACTTTCCCCCCCTGCCAATTTCTAAATCAATAATGGAAAGACAATCCTATATGGGGGGCACGTTATTTAAAGGACAAGAGAAGGGGCTACCCGCACATATACCATGGGGGAAAATGTTTACATGCTACCAAATGAAAAACGTTGACTGTTTAAAAGAAACTTTCCTTCCCTTTTCTTTGCTATTCATAGGAGCATTTCTTTTTCTTTCTTTCTTTCTTTTTTCTTGAAAGTCAGAAAGAATGTTAGAAGACAAGGAGACAAAACCAGCAAACAAAATGCCATTGTATTGTAGTAGCCATTCATGGGAAAATGCTTGTCAACTCCCTCATGCCTCACTCCTAGGAGGCTGTTTTACCCGAGGCAAGCCACAATAAAACAGAGACGAATGAAATATTAAATACTGGTGAGAGTTTCAGAGAAATTTTCTATTTGCTTTATTTAATGCTACCTCCACCACAGCCAACCAGCCCCCTGCCGGGTGGATATGCAACTAGGAGCCAGTGTTCTCTCATCCAGAGAATTAGGGAGTGCGATTTGTCCTTGGCTTTCTCTGCACAAAGAATGCTACAGGCTGCAACTTTTCCTCCTTACCTGCACTAAGAAAATCCTCACAGAATTTATCAGGACACCAACTCCCAGAACATAAAGCAAAGCAGCCACAACAGTCTCAAACGGGACAGCCAGCTGTTTTCATCCAACATCTGAGAATCTTTACTGTAGACAACATTTGCACAGCAACCCAAACTCACAGTTCCCGATAGAAACCTTTTCAGGTTTTCATAACTAACCTCCTCAGACAACCATTCTAATAATTATTAACTGCTTGACAATATATGCAAAGTGAGGAACACAGAGCTTGGCATTTGCAAAGAATCCAGGGATGGTTAGCCATGAGTGGTGGTGGTGATGATGATGATGGCATTAGAAGGGTTTCTTGGAGTCTTTTAGAACTGTGGGATGAACACCGAGTTTTGCATTTGGATGAGGTATAGATGCATATATCTTTCCCACTGCATATTTATAACAAGTATACAGGATGGTAACCAATCACCCAGCAGACTTTAGATTATCAGTGGGAAAAAGTGAGCAATCAAGCATGAACATTCCATTTTGGGGAGTTTATTAGAAGATATATAGATGGGGATGATAAGTTAATTCTGTTTCATCTTACATTATGCACAGATTTTCTTGTGATTAATATAACACTTTATTTTTGTATGCCAATATTGCATGTTGGGGGAGCTGCCTCTGTAAAACATCTTTTGTCTTTGGCTAGCTGGGTGGGCTTGAGTTGGAGTTTTACAGATGACTCCTAGATGGTGCTTGTGTATCTGGATTTGCTTTGAAGGAACCTTAAATATGAGTGCTCCATACTGGTGATGGGCTGCTACTCCCCATAGATGTCCTTTAGGGATCTCCTTGTGGGATATGCCTGGTTCCAGTCATCTTCCCCTACTTTTCCCTCCCCCCAAATAAAGCCATAATTAGCAATAGGGACAGCCTGATACCTTTAACAGGAATTTGGCTGATGGTAGTAACATCTGCTGGGCTGTTG